ATATATTACTGCTTTTCTACCATAGAAAAGCATAGCATGGTTTTTTGGTTTTGTAAAGGGCAAGTACATATGTCAAAATTTGCCAAGCTTCTGTATTGTTAAAATCAGAATAAAGTACAGTATCCACCAAATCCAAAGTGTAAAACTGTTGTGCTTCAGCATTTCCAAACTTAGCCTTTGTCTTTCCAGAAATGTTTCTACTATTTAGTACAGGGTCAGTTTGTTTGCAAATTTACTGCGAAAGATGAATTGTGCAGAAGTTCTTATGTCTTAAGTCAGCAAAGATTTTTTTTCCTTTTCTGAATAACTGTAGTCTGATTGCAAGGATTTTCACAAATATGTTACTTTAAAGGAGCATACATAATCGTTACAATCTTTGTGCCAGTTTTAATTGCCATACAATGATAACAGCTACAGTATATCAACAGAAGAACCACTTGATAGAAATGCGTAATGGTTTTCCAGCAGTTACAGCAGAATTGTCGTAATTTATTTTTAGCCAGAGGAAATAAGCAATTTATCTTTATATTTAATTAAAGCTGCAGTTGTAACATTTGCCAGCTACAGGAACATTTCTGTATCTGTATCTCACCTAGCTAATGTTTTTGTTAAAGATAAAATAAGAAAGAAACAAAAAGCTTTCATAATTTGTAGAGGTCTATGGCAATTAGAAAGCAACATGAAATAAGTAATGAAGACTCTTTTCATCATGATAGTCTTCATAAATCAGTTTTGTAATCCCTTCACAAGGCAGATACTATCATTTATTTTATAGCAAGGATGAGTCATAAAATATTTATGAACTTAAAAAAAAACAAATTATAAATGAGGACTGCACATATACAGATGGTGGATGGAAACCAGGCTGGGGAGGGATTCCATGACCTTATAATATATTGTCTTTTTGAAAAAATTCATAACATCTTTGTTTCATATACATACATTAACCTTTAGAACTGCTGTGAGTAGGAAGGCTTTGACTACTTCCACTGTGTCTAATTAAAAGGGAAATTAATTGATTAACCTTATTTCTTATATTTACAGCCTCCCCTATTTGGTAACCCAGAGTATGATTTAAGAATCAAAACGTTTTAACAAAATGAAAGAAAAATCAAAGTTTTCAAAAGCCAAAAAAACAACAGCAAGTGTTAAGTATTCCAAATAGAATAGAATAGAATTCTTTATTGGCCAAGTGTGATTGGACATACATAAGGAATTTGTCTCTGGTTTCATAAGTTCTCAGTGTATATACAAGCAACAAGTGATAAATCATGATCCTAATCATAATGCAGTCATCATAAATCATAACCTAAAACACTCAGTAATAGTCAGAAGATATAAAATAGAAGCAATCAACATACAAACAACAAAGTTGATAATCATAAGGTGCTAAAGGAATAGGTAATATGAAAGATAAGAGGATAATAGTAATAATATAGCCTTACTACATAGTTTGGTATTCTAAAACAGTGTTGTGGGAATTATGGTCTCCATGCAGCTTTGATGTCATCAGTGACCTAGGCAGGAGAAAAACATGCTGTAGTCAGAAGTTCTAATTGTGACACATCCTGTCTGGAAACCAACATATGAGTTGGTTTCCCAAAGTTTTCTAGGCACAATTCAAGACTGCCATTTTTAATGTAATAAGCATCAGATGACTAGGACCTCTTTTACAAACTATACATAAATCTTTTTAAATGGTGTGAGGGCATATTCTTGGTTGTATCCACCTGCCTGCAACCAGAGTTTCAGCAGCGAAGATACCCCCTCAATTACTGTCTCATTCTTACCTAGTTCATTTTCTTCCTTAGGAGTTAACCAGGTTCATAAGACTGATCATTTTTCCTTTGGGGGTTTGACATTCATTAGTTTATGTTAAACAGCTTACCTTAAAAGGAGATAATTGGCTAATTAATTCCATTTTAATTGGCATCTGATTGTGTCTGTGTCATTAAAAAAAAGTTGTCACCTGCTCCAAACCCTAGAGATAGAGTGCAACTAGCCAAGATCTAATGTGGTCTCTGCAGAATTTTGTAATAGGAGAGCAACTCCTTAGCATTTCAGGAATCTCTTTTCCACCCCATTCAGATTAGTATGAACAGATGCCTAATATCTCTGTAATAGCAGAGTTCCCCTTCTCTTCACCTGCTTTGTTTCGCTTATCTACTTTTAAAAGGCAGAATGGAATAAAAAACAATTTAAGGGGCCTTTATATTTGTCTGCTGAAGAATGAGTGGTGGGTTAAAATGGGAAAAATAATTATTTATCTTTTATGATAAAAAGGTTGACAGTTTGAAGAGACCCAGTTGTTCTATTTTCCAAGGAGACAAACTGGGATCTTTTTCCTTTTTTCCTTCGTTCCTTCCTTTCTTTGTTCCTTCCTCCCTCCCTCCCTCCCTTCCTTCCTTCTTTCCGAAGCTCACTCCAGAGAGTTATCTTCAAAATTATTGAGATGAAAAGACAAATGTTGTGAAGGGTGCAAATAATTCACATCAGCCTAAACCGAAGAATAATGCTGGAGTTTACATTTTTGGTGTTTCATCAGAATGTAATAAAATTAATGTTTACTTTTTCATGCGGTTTTAGGGGGTGATAAATTTTACTTTCCAGCATTAATCACTAATTGTTTCCCTGTTTGTTTATACTTATATCCAGGGGTGGGATTCTACCAGTTCGCACCTGTTCGCTAGAACTGGTTGTTAACATTCTAAGCAGTTTGGAGAACAGGTGGTTAGAAGTAATTACTGGCCTAATCCTGTAAGGAAGGCAGGAAGGAAACATTCTGGTGTTGCTTCTTGAAATATGCCTCTCCATTGACCCTTATTACACTAGCCCTTGGCAGGACTAGACTTCCTGTCTCTGGAACTTCTCTGGAGTTTTTCCCCCCTCCTTTGCTGGTACTTTGCTTGTGTGGAGTGACCGTTTAAAGTTATAATGGCACTGAAAAAAGTGACATGACCATTTTTCACACTTACGACTGTTGCAGCATCTCCACAGTCATGAGAGGCCTGGCAAGGAGATGCATACCTCGATGTGAGTGATATTGAGTTGGCCATGCCCAGACAATAACATGACCACCAAGCCACATCCACCCAGTCACATGACCACCAAACCACACCCACCAACTAAGCCACACCCACAGAACTTGAACCCCACCTCTGCTTATATCCTATTATGCAATTTCAAATAGAATTCATGGAAGTTTCCACCCTCTGTTTTGTTCAGTTATTGACATGAATGCAATTCCTTAGCTTCAACAAGGCTGCTGCTAAATCTACTCAATTAGACCTTACTTATTCCTCTCTTTTGAAGAAAACCTGTGAGCTTGAAATTGGATTATGATGATGATTTCATATTTCTATGTCCTTATTCACACCTACACATGGTGAAAAAAGAAAAGTAAAATACTATACTCATAACAAAATCTTTCATCCCATATTCCTATGGAGAAAGCCTGGAGGAAGAGAGAGATGTTCAACAGCATTTAGAGCAATGCCACGGCATTTGGCGCAGCCGCACATGGCCAGCCAGGGCTCCTCCCTGCAACCGGAGCCCGGTGGAGACACTTGGCTTCAGGTGCTCCTGTCGCCGCCTTCCCTTCACCTTCGAAGGCAAAGCCAATTCTTTTAAAAATGATGCCCTACTACCGGTACAACAAAGCCTCCCCTGCCCAAGAGGGTAGCACAACCCCATGTGGGGAGGCGAATCTCCCGGGACCGCAGCACAGTATCAGTCCACCCCGGGAGAAGCGCCCAGTTGCCGTCCCTGCCTGGCACCGAGCAGAGCACGAAGAGCTTCACCTGGGGTGCCCAGCGCAGCTGAGAGGCGGGCCCTCCTGCCCAACAGTGGAGCTCTTGCCAAGATAGCGAGTGCCTCCCCGCCGGGCCCTCCGCTCATTCTGCCAGGGCCACGCCAGAGCTATGTGGGCTGGGCAGAGCTGGGAAAGCAAACTGCAGGTACGCACCTGCCTGCCAACCAAAAGAGCCGGGCTGACCTGAGCTTGGCTTCCTTCCCTCCAGCCCAAACCCGAAGGGGCCACCAGGAGAGGCTTCCTGAGGCAGTGATAGCGCCCACCTGTCCGCGGACAGGGATGCGAGGCGATGGCAGCGCTGCTTCCCTGGCCGACCAGTCTGGCGGAGAGAGCCCGAAGCCGCCCATCCTTTCCACCCCTCACCCAGCCCGTCTCCATCCCCACACAACTCCAAATGCGCCAGCAGCACCAAACGCAGCGGCATGGGCATCGGGCAGAGGTGCTCACTCGGCAAGGCTCAGCTCGGAGGAGGATGTGGCGTAGGCCGTCGCCTTGCCTCCCTGTCCACGGATGGGTGGGCGGTATCACTGCCTCAGGCAGCTTCTCCCGGTGGCCCTTTTGGGTTCGGGCCAGAGGGACTTGGGAAGGAAGCCAAGCTTAGGGCGGCCTGGCTCTTTCACTTGGCAGGCTGGGCGTTTCTCCCAGGGTGGGCTGATCCTGCGCTGTGGCCCTGGGAGATTCACCTCCCCATGTGAGGTTGGGCTGCCCACTCAGGCAGGGGAGGCTTTGTCATACCGGTAGTAGGGTGTCGTTTTTAAGAGAATTGGCTTTGCCTTCGAAGGTGAAGGGAAGGCGGCGACAGGAGTGCCTGAAGCCGAGTGTCTCCACTGGGCTCTGGTTTCAGGGAGGAGCCCTGGCTGGCTGTGTGTGGTTGCGCCAAACGCCGCAGCGTTGCTCTGGATGCCTCAGCATGGGGAGAAGGGAAAGCAATGGTGACGGAAGGTCTCCCGATACAAGTGCCCCACCAATGCCGAGGTCAACATCCAAGCCGTCGCCGCCCTCCCGCCCAAGGATGCAAGGGGGGGAATTAAGTCACCCCCAAAACGACGGCCTAGCCATTTTTTCGGGGGTCAAAAAAAAAATAAGGCCTGGCCTTATTTTGTGAGAGACACGGTATCAATGCAGTGAATGTACAGTTTGATGTTGTGGTTTTACATTTATTGATTTATTTTATCTTTTTTTTTTTTAGATGAATGAATTTCGGAACAAAATGCAATCATTATTTCCATCAGTTCGAAAAACTGCAGTAAATTCTGTTGAATGGGAAGATATTTGGAAATCTAAATGAATGACATATGAAGGAATTTGTACTAAGCCTTACAAAACTATAGAGGAATTAAAATATTCCTATTCATAATGGCATGCAGTTAGTAGTATCAACATATGCCCCCTTAATGTTCCAGGCAAAAGTATACTTTACTCTTAGTAGTTTTCACTTTAGTGATGATAAGTGCAGAAAAAGATTAAACCGAACACAAAGCTTGGTTTGAAAAAGCATGCTCAATATGTGGTAATGAAACAAAGACATTAACCCTAAAAAAGAGATGAATTGTTGACCAAGTTAATGGGTAATAGTATCCATACTCTGTTCCCTCTACCAAAGTGATTCATAGTGGTTTTTAAAAGACAATATAAGCCACTAAAGAAGACCGAACAATGTTTGTAAAAAATTATACAAATAAAGTGATGGTCACTAAATCTTATTCTTTGTTCACTGGATTAGCATGAGCCTTCAAGAACCAGGACGATAAAGATATTCAGTGCAAAGAGAAACACAACATATGATGGGTCTACATGGCAGTCTATTTCTGACTCCAAAGAAGGAAATTGCTGGGCCTTTGCAGATCTCAGATTTGTTACCCAAACTATGATGTAATCCAAAGAGAACAGAAGTTTGCTCTTCTGAGCAAACAGTCTCTTGGATTGCAGTAATATTCCAATCAGAGACAAACAGTCCTGAGCATTGGATAGTTGTCCTAAAAGCGAGTTTGGAAATGGAGAAAAGGAACCCACTTGCTTTTCAGATTTTGGTGTACGAAACAACTCTAAACTAGTATCATGTGGGAATAGCCATGGCTAGTTAGGAAGGAATTGGCAAACATGGATTTGGTGATATTCTTGGCTGTACCTTACACGAGAGTTTAGTAGTTGAAGCTGAGCCATTTCAGGGTATTAATATAATAAAACTCTGGCGAGATCTTTAGATGTATCAGACACTCGAGTATCTTTTGAATCAGAGGATTAACAGGCTGCTGGTGTTGAATATATTTTTTAAAAAATTATAAAACAGTATTTAAACCCATCATAGAGGGAAGTGGACAGGATAATCTGATCTGGGGAGAATCTTGTCTGGAGAAGAAGGTGAAAATTGTTCTGATTGTTCCAAATATAAATCTAGATAGTAAGTACAATTTTTTAAAAAAATGGGTAAAGAAAAAAACAAAGAAAACCCTTCAAGGACTCTCAGACAGAATGGAATTTTTGTGTTTAAATCTGGAGAAGAACATGGATAAACAAACATTACTGACAATCAACAGACAAAAAAAATATACAGCTTTATTATGATAAAAATGTAGGAAAGAGAGAAGAGAATGTTACTAAAAGAGTGTCATCTTACATGCTGAAGAAGACATGTTCTTACATAAACTTGCATAATGCAGGTTCATGGCATAGCAAAGCAAAGGAGTTCTACTTGGTCAAAGCTTGTGCCTTAGAACAGTTGATAAGGAGCCTCACAGTGACAGAGATAGCTGTTCACTAACTTATCTTTAGAATCCTCAGAGACATTCCTTGCATATCACTGCTGGGACCAGCATTGAAGAGGAATTTGTTGCTCTCCACATTTGTGCTTTTTGCAGTTGGCCTGATCCAGCTGGGTTTTGCTTTTGTTCTTACTAGCATATACAATTGGTCTTCTTATAAATGTCAGACCAAACAGAAAAAAAAAATCCTTGTTCCCTTCTGACAAACAACATGAAATTAGATTTAGTTTTCACCAATTTCCCTTGTAGCACCAATGTCCCTCAGCCCAATTATACTCTAGTGGAGATCCCAACTTCAGGAAAAAAAAGGGTAAAAATTGGACCTTCTCTCATTCTACAAACAGAAGTTATCCATTCTCAGATAAAGAGTAGCTGATTTCTTCCCTATACAGTATGCTGCAGAAAAAAAAGGAACCAAGTTGTGTGAGGCAGTTTTTCTGAGTGGCCAGACCAGTTCTCATTTTTGGCAAGACTATTTAGGAGTCCCAGAGAGATAATGTGGATGAATTTCAGCTAGCATGTGAATTATGAGTCAGTATCCTATGTATATCCTAAAAATGTGAAAAACAGATTCTAAAACAATGTTTTAATTGTAAGCCAATTATATGCTGCCATCTGGAAAAATGATCATTCTAACTGTTTATAATTAATATGACAGAATAGTTGGGGTATCTATTGCTTTTGTGCCCCTTATTATTGGTTAATGGACTATTAGTTTTTTTAAAAAAAAACTAATCTTTTTTTTTAATTTTTATTGGTTTTTAAGACAAACATAGACAAACGAAACATAAAAACATCAAGCCATCTTCCATATATATACATACAGTGTGTCAGTTGGTTTACAAATTGTTTTGTGCTTCCATTTCGTAGTCTTACATACATATACAATTACATTGTATATATTCTCATATTTTCAATCAAATATTAAATACATTAATATCATTGTTAATCATTTGACTATACTTTTATTATTCATGTTTTATGAAATAATCCATATTTTACTTAATTTGTTTTATGACAGTTCATATTATCTCAAATCTATCCTATGATCATTTTGTAGATATAATAAGAAAAGAATACATCTTTATATATTTATTATTTTCTAAAAATCTACAAATTTCATTACCATGTTTTATTGTCTAACCATTGATAGAATAGATCCCAAATTTTATAAAATTGTTTATCATCTTGTTCTCTGATTTCAAATGTCAATCTACAAATTTCTGCACATTCCAATATTTCCTTAATGATTTCCTCCTGCAACGGTATTTTCTCATTTCTCCAGTTTTGGGCAAATACAATCCTAGCCACTGTTAATACATTTACAATCAGGTATTTCAATTCTTTACTATATATTTCAGGTAAAATTCCCAATAAAAATATCTCTGGTTTCAAGTCTATATGCTTTTTTGTCATTTTTTCCAACCATGTGTGGATTTTAGTCCAGTATTTTTTAGCATCCGCACAAGTCCACCACATATGGTAATATGAGCCAGGTGTCTGATGACATTTCCAACATTTTTCAGATTTGTTCTTGAACATTCTTGCTATTCTTGTCGGGGAAAATGTAAAACATCTTATACAAATTTTCTTTATATGCTGTTGACATTGTCATTTTATAATTTTGAGACCACAATTTTTGCCATTTCTCTAGATCAATCCCATATCCAAAATTCTTCCCCCAAGCAATCATTGTTTCTTTAACTTGTTCTTCTTCTAGCTTAATTTCTAATAAATATCCATACAATTTTTTAATCCCCTTTTCATCAGTACCTGTCAAAATCTTATCTAAATCAGTTTATCATAGAAACCTTCTCTTAGAATCTTTATCATACCCTGAATGTATTTGTGCATATGAAAACCAATTCATCTTTATACCCTGTTCTTCTAATTTTTGCATGGATTTAAGTTCACCCTTTTCATTCAATATTTCATCATATCTAACTGTTTGTTCCTTTTCATATATTATAGGATAAGAAAATGCTTCAATAGTTGATAGCCAGACTGGAATTTTCAAATTACATGGTCTTTTAGTCTTCTCCCAGTTTAACCACAGAGACTCCCGTATATAATGTCTTCTAAAATACCCCTTTGTTTTAGTTCCTTTATACCATAGAAAAGCATGCCACTCCAACAACAGATCATGTCCTTCTAATGTCAGCAATCTAGTATTTCTTAATGTTATCCATTCCTTAACCCAGTGGCCCCCAACCTTTTTTGTGCCGCGGCCTGGTACCGGCATCACAAAATCATCCGTGGCCCAGTACCGGCATCAGCACGCATGGCAAAGCGAGCTGAGCAACCGGCCAGCCAGCCGTCCCCCGCTTCTCCCCACCACCTTCAACTCCTCCTTTGTAACTTTGTCAATGGGCTTCGGGACGGCTTCGGGATGGTCGCTTGGCTCACCTTGCCATGCGTGCTGAAAGAATCCTCGCGCCTTAGTTTTGTTCGAAGCCATCACCACCCTCAATGAAACTAAGGCACGAGGATTCTTTCAGCACCCAAATGCCGCTTTCTACCCGGAAAAGCTCACGGGAATCACTTTTTCATCAAAACAAGATGGCGGTGCCCAGCAAACCGGCGGCCCGGTAGAAATTGTTCCACGGACCGGTCCCGGTCCGGGGACCGGTGGTTGGGGACCCCTGCCTTAACCCACATCAAGTTTGTAGCTTAGTAATACAACTCCCAATTAGGCAAACCAAATCCTCCTCTTATTCTGGCATCTTGCAAAAGTTTTAACTTTATTCTCGCTTTCTTACCTTGCCATATATATTTCAACACAATTTTATTTAAATCTTCAAAATAATCTTTTCCAAGCCTAACTGGAATTGTTTGGAACAAATATAAAATTCTGGGTAATATATTCATCTTGATTGTTGATATTCTCCCTATTAATGACAGTTGTAAATTTTCCCATTTTGCCAAATCTAGCACTATCTGCTGCTTAAGTTTGATATAATTGTTCTCTTTTAGTGTACTACATCTTGCTGTCAAATGTATCCCCAAGTACTTGATCTTATTCGTGACCTGAATTTCCAATAGATCCACCAGTTCTTCCTTTTGTCTTGATAGCATATTCTTTGTCAAGATCTTTGTCTTATCTTTATTTATTTTCAAATCAGCCACCTTTCCATATGCCTCTATCTTTTCTATCAATTTTGATGCTGTTTCTAGTGGGTCTTCTTAAATGAAAACCAGATCATCTGCGAATGCTTGCAACTTAAATTTTTCCTTTTTAATTTTCATCCATTTTATATCTTTTTCTTCTCTAATATTTCTGTTTAGCACTTCCAAAGTTAACACAAACAACAGAGGTGATAGTGGGCACCCTTGTCTTGTTCCTTTTCCTATATCACTAGAGTCTGTCAGTTCTCCCTCTATCATAACCTTTGCCATTTACTTATGATATATAGTTTCTATTGCTTGAATAAATTTTTTAGCAAAGCCCATCTGTTCCAACTGTAATAACATGAATCACCAATTCACATTATCAAATGCCTTCTGTGCATCTAGAAATATCAAAGCCATTTGTTTTTCAGTGTGTGCCTCGTAGTATTCCAAAGTGTCCAAGATTGCTCTCATATTGTCTTTAATTTGTCTCTTTGGCAGAAATCGGTTTTGATCAGGATGGATAAAATTGTTTCAGTATTTTTTAAATCTTTCTGCCAATATTGAAGCAAAAATTTTATAATCTGCATTTAGTAAGGAAATAGGTCTATAGTTCTTGATTTGTAATGGATCGGCCTCCTCTTTTGGGACAAGTGTAATATAAGCTTCTGACCATGATTTAGGTATCTTCTTTAACATAACTTCATTCATAACTTCTAGCAATGGAAGGTGTAGTGTTTTATAAAATTCTGCCGGAAGTCCATCTGGGCCTGGTGCCTTTCCATTGTTTTGCTTCTTGAGTGCTTCAGTTAACTCCATCATCGTTATATTGCTTTCTAACATTGTTTCAGTCTCTTTAGGTATCTGGGGTAGATTAGCATTCTGTAAGTATGTCATCAATATTCTCTTGTGTGTATAGTTTTCCATAATAGTCTCGTATGATTTCCTTCTTCTCTTTACTACCATAGCAAACTTGGCCTTGGTCATCTATTAATTGCAGTATTTTCCTTGATTCTTTCTCCTTTCTCAATTTATATGCTAACCATCTACCTGGTTTATTTGCATCTTCAAAATAGTTCTGTTTCGCACCTCTGATTTTCTGTGCTAATTCTTCTTTTTCTATTTGACCCATTTTATGTTTAATTATATTCATTTTTAACTTAATGTCCTTTTTCTGTGGCATTTTCTATAGTTCTTTTTCAAGTCCTTTATACTCATCCTCTAAAGCCTTAGAGGCTAGTCTTTTCATGGTATTTCTTTTCCTTGTATAGTCTATTATCAAGCCTCTGGTATATGCCTTCATTGTATCCCATACGTTCTGCGTTGATGTATCTTCTTTTTTGTTTTCTCTAAAGAAGAAAGCCAGTTCTTTCTCCATCCACTGTGTGAAGTCTTTTTTCTTTAATATAGTGTTATTTAACATCCATCTATTCTTCTTTGTCCTTTCCATTTAATTGTCATTGGATTGTGATCTGCCCAAGTACTTGTTTCAATATTTATTTCTTGAATATTGGCTAACAATTCTGTTGACATCCATATCATATCTATTCTGGACCATGATAAATGTCTATTTGATTAGAAGGTGTATTGTTTAGTCTTAGCATTTCTTTCTCTCCATGTATCTTTTAAATTTATTTCATCTATCATTTAAAAAAAAGATTTAGGGAGAGTCTGTTTTGCTCTATTGTTTTCTGTGCTGTGTAGTCCAGTTTATTATCTACAATTCCATTAAAATCTCCCATCATAACTGTATTAGCATAGTCCAGTTCAATTATTTTCATATGTAATTTTTAATAAAATTCTTCTTGATTGTCATTCGGGGCATAAATTGCAATCAGGAGTGTTTTCATATTATTGTTCCTTATTTCCACCATTAATGTTCTTCCATCATCATCGGTATAGATCAATTTCACTGGGATAATATCTTTAATGTATAAAACCACTCCTCTTTTCTTGCATTGTGTCAAAGAAGTAAATATTTTACCTAGTTTTGGCTGTATCAGCAATTGTTCATGTTGCTTTTTGATATGTAGTTCTTGTAGACAGATTATATCAAATTTTAATTTCT